GATCTCCATGATTTAAGCCTCCCATGACCAGCAGTTTTGCTCTCATTCTGTGAGCTATTGTTGCTCCCCTCTGCTGTTCATCTACACATGCCTTGTTGTTATCAAATTACTGTCTAAGCCTTCTGCTGTTTGGTGGGGGATTGTAAATTATATCAAGATCACAATCCTCTTTCCATCTGTTATCAGAGTCCCAAGTATGGAGTTTGTCCATACTTGTTCAATAGTCCCTCAATTTTCTAGTTCCTCAAACTCACATTCCTGCTTTATTAGCAGTGCCACTCCCTTTCCCTGTCTCTGTCCTTCCTTTCTTTATCACTTGGTATCCCCCTGGAAAGATTGCATCTGGGATCATATTATTTATTTTAGTTTCCACTATTGCAATTATGTCAGGAAACTTTCAAACCTCCTCTCTCTCTCTACACCCACATCCTCTTCCAGAATTTCACCTACCCATCCTTTCCAAATCCTTTGGACATCCAAGTCAATCTGCTCCACTAACCCTTTCTTTTATTTCCTTTACTTTATTGGATAACCCATCAGCATTGGTGTACCAAACCTTGAAACTCTTATATATTGTCATCCACACTTTCATGGAAATAAACATTTCATTCACCTAGGCTCTAGGAGACTCAAACCATGGACACCACACTTGTGAGGTTGAAGCTCTATCGACCAAGGCATTTCGGGCAACCGCGCGGCAACACTGAAATGTTTATACTCTTTTCGGTCTGCTGACCTTAATTTTCCATGTATGTATTTAATTTTGGTATCAATTTGTTTATAAGAGAATGCTCTAGAGGAATATATATATATAAAATTTCACCAAAGCCAACGTGAGACCCGCACCAAATAAAAAACTATGGCGATCGTTAGCTGTGAGCGCCAAACAGCGATGAAATGTTTATACTCTTTTCAGGTTTGTCAACCCCAGAATTGTTCTACGTCGTTAATTTTGGTATCACTGTGATCGCAATAAAATTCTGTACACAGACATGTGAATATAAAGTACAAAACATGGGCGCGCCCCCTCTAGCAAGACCGTGGGAAATTGCCCAAGGGTTACCCGCTACCGCACGCCCAACTGCACATCAGCTACACCCCTACTGAAAAGTTTATACTCTTTTCATGTTTTTGACCGTAATTTTTGATGTAGGTGTTTCATTTTGGTATCAATGTGTTCCCAATGAAATGTTCTAGAGGAACATACGTATAACATGTCACCAAAGCTAACGTGATGCCGGCACCAAATAAAAAACTAAGTCATTTGTTAGCTGTGTACGCCAAACAGCGCAAACATGTTGCTACTCTTTTTCGGGTTTATCAAGTCCAAACTTGTTCGACATCGTTTTTTTTTTATATCACTGTGATTGCAATAAAATTTCCTACACAGACATATACATATAAATAATACAACATGGGGATGCATAACCCGCAACGATCCCTAAAGTCGCTGAAGCCTTACCCGCTAGAGCACACTCATTGCTACACTCACTACACCCAATACACCAGACAAACACATGCAGTTTGCTAACAGACGTTTTTGTGCAACATTGTTCATTGTGATATCAAATTATTCGTAATAAAATGCTCTAAATAGAAAGACAAATATAAGCAATAACAACCGCAATATATACAAGCAATACCAATAACAAAGTATAAAGACTAAAGTTGGCAAAGTTACCCGTGAGCGCGCAAAATCAGTAAAATGTATATACTCGTTTCAGTTTTCTCGTGCTACATTGTTCCTTTTGGTATCATTGTGTTCGCAATAGAATTCTCTATTAGGGGTATATGCATACAAGGTCTAAAAGCCCGGAGTGGCTCTCCACAGCAAAGCCTAAAGTCGGCCAAGTTACCAGTGAACTCGCAAAATCAGTAAAATGTAAATACTGTACTCGTTTGTTTTCTCACCTTATTTCTCGTGCTACATCGTTCATTTTGGTATCATTGTGTTCGCAATAGAATTCTCTATGGGAGTATATGCATATAAGATCTAAAAGCCTAGAATGAGTCCCACAGCAAAGCCTAAAGTCGGCCAAGTTACCTGTTAACGAGCACCAATTGGCACACCTGCAGACTAATTTATACTCGTTCAGTTTGATAACAAATTTTCGTGCTACGTCTTTCATTTTGGTATCAAATTGTGCGCAATCTAAAGGCGCTCATTTTGAAACCGCCTAGAAGTTGATCGGATGACAATTTAGTTTTTTACAAATATTTTAGTTTATGTCGCACGAGATAGTCATCGGATTACATTCAGGAGAAAAACTTATGACAATAATAGGAGGACTCGGAATGCGATAGTGTTAAATTAATAAGGAAATATCCAAGAAGCAACATCCTGCTGCCAAACTGGAATTTTTGACATTCCCTGACTACTACTGAAGCTCAGAGAAATTAGTTATCTAATTCTAATAGTGTTTGAGACTCCTAGAGCCCAATTGAATGGAATGTTTATTTCTAAGGAAGTGTGGATGACAATTTATATGACGTTGGCATGGATCCCTAATGCCTCTGAGCTTCAGTAGTAGTCAGGGAATGTCAAAAATTCCAGTTTGGCAGCAGGATGCTGCTTCTGGAAACTTTCCTTATTAAGACTACTCAATAGCTCGGTCGATAGACCTCACATGCGTGGGGTTCGTAATTCGAGTCTATTTGAAACTCTTCTTGGACAGTTACCAGAATTCACATAGCTCATCTGCCTACACATCTCCCTTGGTGTATATCCAAGTGAGAGATGGGTGCAGTCTTTATCTCCAATAAATGGCTGTGAGGAGGGAAGTTCCCAGAAATAAGGAGGGGAGGATGAGAGGCAGAGGGGCTCTGGGGGGGGGCAGATGGTATCTGGGTGGTTCTGGAGGCAGATGAGGTCTGGGCAGCTGGGGGGGGGGGGGGGGTCTGAAGAGCATAGGGAAGCTGAGAATCATTAGTGGATTCTGAATCAGAATAAGAGGTTGAGAAGTAGAGGGGGGGGGGGGGGGGGGGGGCATTGGGAAGTATGGAGCATGGGGCTATGAGGGAAAGAGAGGTTGTACTAATTAGAGGGTGAAGAGGGGCAGGGAAGGAATCAGGGGTAAGTGTGGGGTTTGGGGAAGAAGGGGGCTGAACATGGGAGTGGGGCAAGAGAAAGGGCTTTGAGGGCAGTGAAGAGGTTGGGGGGGGGGGGGGGGGGCACGGTGAGAGTTTGGGGGCAGACGGACATTGAAGGGTGGGATGGAGCAGAGGGAGTTGTTGGGGCAGGAGGAGGCAGGAGAAATGGGAGGTTTGATTTGGGGAGGAGTGTTGGGGTAAGGGTGGGTCAGGTCATGGAGGTGTGCTGGTTGGCTTCCCTTGGGTTCTTGCTGTTGTTCTTCTTTGGTCATGTATCTATTAATAAACACATTGTAATAGCCTTTGCTGCTGCTTAGTAAATCTTTGTGCTTCAATATGTAATCCAGTACCTCTTCATTAGAAACCTGCACCAGAACCGGTCTACTTCTGGTACCATTACAAGGCCCAATTCAGTGGCTGAGTTCAATCTTGTTTCCTTCCATCTCAGCATTAATACACCTCAATATTTCACCTACTTCAAACTTTTAAAATTGTATACTTTCATGCTTTGATGTTGTCTTTCCTTCACATAATCCATGGATGATAATTCACTGCCTCCTCTGCAATCCACTTTCATGCTGGTTCTTACCCCACATTGTTGCAGCCTATACTGAATATATAATTTATCTGTTTTTAGTTTTATCTTCTGCATTGTCCCATATTAGAGTAATGTTCTGAAGTGGTTCCTCCAAATACCACAGTCTACCCTCTCTGTCTTGCTCCCATTTGGGGCATACCCCTCGCATACTCCCTAATCCATCCCCCACTAATCCGTTCTTCCGTATTCACTTCTGAGTGTTGCATCTCGCACCTAACTCCTTAGCAAGCCTGGAACATGTGACTTCCCACTCTTCCCTCATCTTCCTGATTTCTAGCTGAATAGTCTTCGAGCACCTGTTTTTGTCTCAATCTCATCCTGTATTTGTTGAAATCTCTCTCTTAATTTCCAGGATCAAATCCTCCATCCAATTGCTCCTCTCAACACACTTCCCTATCACCGGTCGTTGCCGGTGCAGTCGTCGTGGGGTCAATTCCCACTAGTCTACTGCACAATGTGGTACAACACTTACTTTCAGGTACACTTTCTGCTTTTTTTCTTCACTTTATTATGGTTTCTGTCAGTTTAACAGATATTCATTCACTCGTACACTTTTCCCTGCAATATACTGTTTATCCTTCCCAAATTATTAGAAAACACCGGAGGTCCCCAGCTCACAACCCTCCACTATGGCCACGACGATGACGACAACGACAACGATGACAACTCTATGCATGTGTTCATATTTAGGTTGAAAAAGCAATGATGAATGTTGAAATGTTAATAAAAATGTTTATACAGTATTCAGTACTTTCATGCAATTTCATTTCTGAATATTATGATACTAAAGTTATAATAATAATGCTAAAACTGAGAAAACATTAAGAGTATAAACATTTTGGGTGTTGCTGAATGGGACCGAGATGCCTGGAACACTTACTGTCGGGAACATGCCGACGGGTCAGACTGTTAAGTGTTAACTTAGAGCTAACCGCACAATATGTAAATGTATTACAGAGTTTGGCTACTGCAGGCACTAATGTCAGGTCACCTACCAAGCTCACTCAATCTACTTCTCATAATTGCCTTAAACAAATGTAATCTATCCTCTTAAAATACAAAACTCTTAGTTTTAATCCTTAATTTAGCCATGCAATTTCACAATTCATGATCCCTGTAACCTTATTTGTTTCCTACTTCAACATTATCTAGATTTTTTTATTTTTTTTTTATTTTTAAGACTATGTCTACAATATTTTTTTCCATGTAGGTTCAGTAACAAATTGCTTAAGGGTCATAACGAGATAATTCTTAAAAGTAACACTGAAAAATCTCAAGATTCATTTAAAATTTTATTGAAAGACGATCTTACTGTCTATGTAACGTTGATGGAGTTTCAGCCAGTTCACTTGAAAATGAAAAGAAAACAATTATTAAAAAAAACGTTTATCACTCACACTGTACATAAATATTTTAACCTTAAGTACTTTGATTTGTATTACTTTACAATCAAGACATTACTTTAGAGTTTAAGGGGGTCTGATTAATATCATTTTTCATGGGCAATAATGAATTTGAATTCTAGTAAGATTTTTACTACTTAACTCTGTAGTAAAGTGTTTTTTTTTTAATTGCCGAAGATCCACTCCATACTGTTATTTGAACGTACATGTTTACTGTCTTAAAAGTTACTAATCCAATACAGTACTGTATATTTACTCTTTACAGACTGTAGTTCCAAAACCTGATTATCCCTAAATGACTAAACTGTTCTAAGTATGACACACATATACATGCCTGGTAAAGCTGCAGATGATGACCTAATAAACATACAAATGCATTTTCAAATATTTCCATAATTATAGAAACAAAATTTGAAATGAACTTTCCAGTTGGCATATGCTAAAAAAACTTTCAATTTAAAAAATATTCATAATTATTATTCTTACATTAATTAATATACAGCAAAATAATTTGTATATAATAGCATCATGTTTTGAGTAAGGTAAAACTTAAATAAATTATTTTTTGTAATTGTGAGGTGGGAAGTGCCCCAGAATAAGGAGTGGGATGTGCCCCGGAATAAGGAGTGGGACGAGAGGCAGACAGGCTCTGAGCCCCCCTCAGGAAATCTGGGGACAGATGGGATCTGGGCAACTAGGTGGGTCTGGGAGGCAGATGGGGTCTGGGCAGCTAAGGGATGGGGGGGGGGGGTCTTAAGAGCATAGTAGGTCAGAGAGGCATAGGGAAGCTGAAATTCTGAATCAGAGTAAGAGGTTGAGAAGTAGAGGGGGAGAGCATTAGGGGATCTCCCCCTCTACTGGGATGGGGGTGGGATGGGGGCAGGGGGAAGTATGGAGCATGGGGCTATGAGGGAAAGAGAGGTTGTACTAGTTAGGGGGTAAGAGTCAGGGTTAAGTGTGGGGTTTGGGGAAGAAGGGGGGCTGAAGATGGGAGTGGGGCAAGAGAAAAGGCTTTGAGGGCAGTGAAGAGGTGACGGGGGGACGGGGGTTGCAAGGTGAGGGTTTGGGGGCATTGAAGGGTGGGATGAGGCAGAGGGGGAGGAAGAGATTAACATTCTGAAATTGAACCAAACCACACTGAAATTAACATTCCAGATTTCACCATGAACCCTTTTTTTTAATAGATGAATGATATTATAGGGGCAGATATGGTGGGCATATTTAATCTGTCTAGAGCAGTGGTTCCCAAATTCTTTACGGTCACAACCCCCTTTTTCATAGTGTACTTAATGTCCCCCTGCACCCACTATTAAACATTTTTGTAGCATCCTGTGAGCTCACTCCACTAGCTGGTTATTCCCCCCCCCCACGACCTTTTGGTATCATAACCTGTACACTGCTTCAACTTATGGCCCTCTATATATTGAAAAGATGCCCCCCCCCCCCAGTTTGGGAACCAGTGATCTAGAAGGATCTATATTTTGATATCAAAATAATGGAGGGTGCACTCTACATACATTTATATACAGTGCACCCATTTTTGGGGGTGCACTATAGGCCATAGTATCCACACCTATGGCCGATGTGAAAGCATAGTTGTAGGCTTCAAAGAACAAAGTTTTCAGTGGTTCAAATATTTTGGGTTACAGGGATTACCATTTATTGAACTAGATATGCTGATGAAAAATTTTTGCTTGAGCAGGCAGGCCTCATTCTATCGAGATTCCACTATTCTTATATCAGGTAGTGATCACTAGTGGAGGTCTTCATTAGCTATCAAATCAAAATCAAGACTGATGGAAATTTAGCAGCTACCAAGTTTAAAGGCTGACAAAATATTACTGTACTGTAAATGTTATGGAAATATATGAATGATTATTTAAATTAAGATTTCTATAATTTTTCCTTTCTCTCCTTGTGAGTGTCTTCCAAAACACAGGTAGTATGAAACATATTCAAGTCCCAAGCATTAAAAATGTAGACAATCTTAAAGACCTACTAGGTGCAAACTTTTGAATATTCAATGCACAGTGAATAAACAGCTTATATCCAAGGTAAAAGTATTTACACAGTTCTGTGGTGGCATGCAGTGCTTGCTTCTTTGGCGACTATAAAGAATAAGATTATATTTTTTCAAGTCCAGTCTCCTAGCTATCTTTACAGTGTGCATTTGTAAATCTCTTGATGTTCATGTTGTCAGATGTTTGCTTTTGAAGTTGTAAATTGAAGTGACATCCACACCTCCATTCAATGCCCTATACTTTTTTGTTGACCACCCATAATGAGCAGGAATAATTCTGTTTCTATGAATCAGAAACCTCATTTGCAACAATGAGATACAAATACCAAATCACCACCAATTATACAAATCACCACCAATGTCCTCTTGTCCTCTTTTCTCTCACTTTACACATACTGTCTTTATTCAGCATGCTAATTCCTGTCGGTATCTAATAAATATGTTTTGACCATATTTCCTCTACTCCTGGGTTGGGAGGCTGTGTGTTTTCTGCCCACATAATTCAGGTTTAGCATTAGCTTTGTTCCAAACCTCAGAGCACTTTTAAGTCTTTGTGCGTTCATTCTGGTGCTGCATTTTCCAGTACAGTATGATCTTTTTATCTATACCAGAAGATATCTAGAGCCAAAACTCAGTTAATTGAAGAAAGGGCATTCAAGAGAGACCAAGTTATAACAGGGCCATTTGCAATAATAATAGGTTTCTGTTACATCTTTCTTGAGTTAGTTCCTGGCTATTTCAAAACACAAAATCCTACAAGACTATATTTGGATTTAACTTTATGAAAAGCATTACTGTAGTTAATAAGCCGACAATTAGCCCAACTGCAGTACTTTTATCTCAAATGATTGTAGTGGAAAATGTTTTGGTACTGAAGAATGGTTCACTTTACAAAGTAGACAGTGTAGTGGAAGTTGCTGACCTGAAGAATGTGCAGAACATTTACTGCCAGAACCTATTAAATAACACCTCTTAATTATTGGGATTGCTTAAAATCCCTAAAACTGTACTTGTTGGAGTACAGTTGTTGGCTACAGAGGTACATCAGAATATACATCTGGAAAATATTAGTGTAACCGGTTCCAAATCTGTACACTAAAATAATTCTAAAAGAACAGAAGGTATGGTACAATGTGCAAAAAGAGTTACATTGAAAAGCATGGAGTGAAACTAAGGATCAAAGGCCCATGACTCTTCAACTTGCAATGACATTACAACTCCTCTTCATGACCCCTTGCAATATAAGGGGCAAAAATCAGCCAACTTCTTTTGGTGTTCAAAAGGGCACTTGAATCACATGTCAAACCACATGTGTGTGATGATGTCCGACAGCCTGGTTTACTAGACCATTAATCAGGAGGCCTGGTCCAAGATCACGCAGTGGGGATGTTGATCCTTCCAACCACGTCAATTTAAAATTAAAGTATCAGGGAATGGTCTGAGCATAAGCTCAAATTTCTCTCATTCTTACGCCTTTCCTATGAGGCTAAATCCAAGAGCATTTCAAGCATCTTGTTGATTTTAGAATAAATAATCCAAAGCATCAATTTGCATTTTTTCAATACCGTATTTCCCAGCTATATATCATTAGGGATTCCTGTAGGTACAGTATACTGTCTACTTTGCTTTTCAAGTATTAAAAGGTTCAATAACAAATCCTTTAATTGTCTTTATTATTTGTTACAAGATACCTGAGGTTCATTCATTGTTTTATTTCTAGTATAGATTTACTTGCAATGTCTTCAGCCTATTTAAGATACTCATATCACTTTCATCTGCCACATTCAAGGAATTTACTAATTTGTGTTCAATTTATAATATTTAAATAGGTTTTCTTCAGCTGATGCAAGTTCATGCATTACAACATATCCAATAACACACAAGTACAAAGGAAACTATGGAAGACCAACTGGCCCATGCGAGGTAACCTTCTGTTTATATCCAATATAATCTTTTCACATAAATGTTTAAAATTCGCTAGAAACCATTCAGCAGTCCCACATTTATTATTCATTTTACCAAACCAAAGAGCTCAATGACGGCATGTAATGCATCGTATATTATAGTTTTATAAACATTTTGGACGTATGCAGTGTCTTTGTTATTATATAATTAAATTTACTGTATTCATAGAAACTTACATCTACAGTACTGAACAAATCAAATAAGCACTTTTTGTGAAAAATACTACGTAAGTAGTCCAGTTCCGAGACTCATGCACAGGCATCCTATTTGCAAATACAACAGACATTCCACTGTGAAACCATATAATGTAATGATGTACTGTATTCTCAAATTCCAGAGAAATGTCTCCAATTGTAATTAAACGTTCTGGATTTTGTTAATGATTTCAAGCAGTCGGCAAAAGGTGACCCCAGAATGTGGATTAACAGGTGTAGCAAGTAAAAATGTTAAACTGCAGTCTAAATATACTAATTATATGGCCATGTTTCTTGTATCTTCTCCAGGCTCTCCACCTATCACTCAATTCTAAAAATACTACCTACACAATCTGGACATAATTCAATCATATTCTCAGGATAAAATGTAAGTGATTGGTGTTAATTTGTGATAAAACTTAAAATACATCAGAAGATATATCTGACAAATGAGGCCTTGGGCCCTATGTGTGACAATTTCACTAAGTTTTTCCCAATTTATTCAAAAATTAAGTGTTCAGTCAGTTTCAAGATTTCTCTCTACTCTTTCAGCCTAGACTGAGACCAGGTATTTTTGTTAACTGTATGATCAGACAGTTCATTCGTGGTTAGTGACCAACTTTCTTTATCAATTTGATTAAATTTAAGTTACAAACAACACTGTTGCACATTTACATTACATGTTTATATAACATATTAATCATAGTATAAAATGAAGAGGAAAAGAAAAAGAGGTACTTGACTCACCTTTTCTAATATCGATGCCGTCTTGGTTCTCCGAATGTGTTGGTGTTGGGGGACCTCCACCTATATTATTACTACTTGCAGATATTGTTAGTGGTTCTAATTGTGATTTCACTACTAGTCCTTCCCCATCATGAGAATGAGAGTTGTTAGAGTTGACAGTCTTTGCTGTATCCAAGTCTATTCCACTCTTGCTCAATGAATTTGAGAGCGTCACGAGGCGGGGATGGAGACTTAAGAGTTGCGGCACTGCCATGGATGTGGAACCACCCAAGGCGGGGATGCAGCTTGCTAATGAGGTGGTGGTTGTGGTATTGGTAGCTGAGGTGGATGACAACGCACTACTACATAACGGGGGAAGGGACGAAGGTAAGGAGGTGGGCATGTGCCCTAAACTTGTCCCAAGCTTAGGTCTTAAACTACTTTGCAAGTGTGTGGTTGTTGTGCCCGCATGGGTGGACGTAACTGTCGTGCCTGATGACGATGCCAGACCTGAAGGCGCTAACGACACATTTGCCCCACCAACATCATGGCTATTCTCTCCGCTGCTCCTGGTGTGATGATGTTCTGAAGTTGGAGTACTATCACCAGAAGAAATCTCCATATCTGCTGCACCAACCTCTGCAAAAATCATGATATGTTTCATGAAATGAAGATTACCACTAAATAGAAACAAGATTTCTTTGTGTGGAAATGTATGACTTATTGAGACAACAACAATTCAGAAATCATGTCATACTAATTTTTTATAACACTCATCCCTTCTCTGTTTTGCAAGCACCTCAACTTGTCTACCTAAAAGACATTGGTTTTCATGATCTCTATATGACAATATTGCAAACCATTCGATTTAGTAAATGCATCGAGATTCCTTCCCAAGACTAATGTAACTGCCCCAAGCCTATATTACCATTGCATTGGTCACTATTTAAAGAGATGCCCATACATCTACTAGATATCCTTATCTACTTCTTCCACTTGTCTTTTCCCTTTTCAATTAATTTTTTAAATCTTCTGCCATTACCCACCAATACTAAACATTGTGCTATGCTAAACAAACTTTTAAATGTTATCACAGCTGCAAACTATCACCAAGCCACATATACATTCTATTCACATAGATGTGTTTTAAAATTCTGATATTCCACATAAAACCTCATAAAAAATAACAAACCTGCACCTGACATGCTAATCCAATTCTTAGCTTTTTCCTGTTTGCATCCCTTCCAGACCTCCAAGCTATGCTCATACTGCTCCCCCCAAAAAAGATGAAATTCAAGGGAACCAATAGTACTGTAAATCCACCACGATTTTTATTTGTGTGTCTCTACCCTAAGATGAGCCACATTCAATTGCAGCATCTTCGCTACCTTAAGCCAATATCAAATCCCCGGTTAAGAACCCCCATACTAGATTACAGTATTACTACTGTATTTAACAAATATCTACTACACTTCAACTTCCTTACATTATCTTTTCACGAATGCTCAATGAAAACAATAAAACTACTCCCCTTCTGCCCCCCTCTTTAAATAATTTTATGAAGAAAGATGCACAAAGTTACTAAAAAAGTTTTCCCTGGGCAGCGAGCTGTGAAGGATGAGGCCACAACAATCACTTTTCCCCATGCTGTGTGTGTTGATAATGGGAAAAAGTTACAAAAAGTTAACAAAATGGGTCATATTTGAACCAAAACCAAATAAAAATTTAAAAATTTAACTGCAATATACTCAGCACTATTATAACTGTTGACAATTTTGATTTTACTTTTAAGAGAAACAAAACCTACATGGAATTTTGTTTAGATAACTAATAAATACCTTGGCCATATTTTCTAGAATCTCTTCTATCGTACATGTCATCATTTCGATACATTTCTCTCCTATCTCGATCATTTCTCTCCCGCTCACCGTCCCTGATGTCCCGTCCTTCCCGATAACTCTCTCCCATATTGGAATGTTTATCTGAAAAAAGAACATTGGGAAAAGTTTAACAACAATAAATTGCGCGACAAAGATCATTATTCTGTAATTGGGAAATTAAATTAAACAGTGGAATAAAGATGTTATTTGTAGACAAGATCTTTTACACTTCAACAGGTTAAAAAGATTAAAAAATTAACAGTGCTAACTGAAAAGAGTAAGATGAACAACGACTTTAAGAAGTTCTTTATTAAGGTCCAGAGAAGATTCTCATGCAAGCGAGCACATAAAAATTTCTTTGAATCAAGTAATCCGTATAGTGTAAAGCAGTTAACATTATTCATGCATTTGCTGGTATTTTGCAATGAGGTGTCCTCCATATATCCAGTACACCATTTATGACTAACCAGCAGCACAGGCACTGCAGATTTCTATACATATTCACATCCTATTACAGCACGATTTAAGCTATTATAGGCCCTCCCTGCACAGTACCATGCAACCCATTATAGGCACTCCCTGCACAGTACCATGCAACCCATTATAGGCACTCCCTGCACAGTACCATGCAACCCATTATAGGCACTCCCTGCACAGTACCATGCAACCCATCATAGGCACTCCCTGCACAGTACCATGCAACCCATCATAGGCCCTCCCTGCACAGTACCATGCAACCCATTATAGGCACTCCCTGCACAGTACCATGCAACCCATCATAGGCACTCCCTGCACAGTACCATGCAACCCATTATAGGCACTCCCTGCACAGTACCATGCAACCCATCATAGGCACTCCCTGCACAGTACCATGCAACCCATTATAGGCACTCCCTGCACAGTACCATGCAACCCATCATAGGCACCTCCTGCACAGTACCATGCAACCCATCATAGGCCCTCCCTGCACAGTACCATGCCACCCATTATAGGCACTCCCTGCACAGTACCATGCAACCTATCATAGACACTCCCTGCACATTACCATGCAACCCATTATAGGCACTCCCTGCACAGTACCATGCAACCCATCATAGGCCCTCCCTGCACAGTACCATGCCACCCATTATAGGCCCTCCCTGCACAGTACCATGCCACCCATTATAGGCCCTCCCTGCACAGTACCATGCTACCCATTATAGGCACTCTGCACAGTACCATGCAACATATCATAGGCACTCCCTGCACAGTACCATGCAGGCCATCATAGGCACCCCCTACATGGTACCATGCAACCCACCATAGGCACTCCCTGCACAGTACCATGGAACTTATTGTAGACACTCTCTGCACAGTACCATGTAATCTATCAGACACTCCCTGCACAGTACCATGCAACATATCGTAGGCACTCCCTGCACAGTAACATGCAACCCATCATCGGCACCCCCTGCACAGTACCATACAACCTTCTATATGCGCAACTAGCGTAGTATCGTACAACCTTAGTATAGATCCATATAATGCCACAGGCATTGCTATGCTCGCAGAGATGCATACAACCTATCATATACACTCCTACTCCTAGCACAAAGCATCAGGTATCTTGAGGTTATCTCGAGATGATTTCGGGGCTTTAGTGTCCCCGCGGCCCGGTCCTCGACCAGGCCTCCACCCCCAGGAAGCAGCCCGTGACAGCTGACTAACACCCAGGTACCTATTTTACTGCTAGGTAACAGGGGCATAGGGTGATAGAAACTCTGCCCAATGTTTCTCGCCGGCGCCTGGGATCGAACCCAGGACCACAGGATCACAAGTCCAGCGTGCTGTCCACTCGGCCGACCGGCTCCCCTACTTCCAGTGTTTCTCTCTGTTCCACATTATTTTGAATGTAATTATCATATACCCTCTACACTCGTTCTTTTTCTCAGTGTTGTTAGTACTCAAACGAATGTATTTGGCTCTACTTCCCAACTCTAAATCCATGTACTCTTTCTGTTCAAAAATTCATTCTTGCCAGGTGCTCTACCATTCCCTCCCTGATTACTTTCTCCAGTAATCTGCAAGAAATGCATACTAGTGATGCTTTTCTATACACTGTATCTGTCTCTCCTCTTTCTAAAAGGGGTTGCATGTCTTCACTCAGGTTCCAAGAGAGCTTAACGAACCACTTTGTTTAGTTCCTCATGTATCTATAATTTTCCATTAAGATCCCCCATCTTCATCACATGATTTTTAACCAATTGTTCTCCTTTTGTGACTGAACAGGTCACTTGTGTTTGACAATTCTCACACTGATCATCTTAATTTTATGTGAAGAATTGTAATGCTTTCTAGTTCTTAGCTCTGCCATGCTGCCCTTTCTCTTTTTTTCTATGCCTGCCTAACTCAGTTCTCTGTATCTGAACTGTCCACTAAATCACGCTTTTTCAACACCACCTTAATTTCCTTCCTGAATGGGATGAGCATTTGTGTGTAATTTCTTTTGCTACATATTCCATCATTTTATTTTGTATTTTCCCCCTATTGTTTTTCCATATGGAACTTCTTGCAATCTCCTCCTCTTAGGTTTAGTCCCTTCAACCTATTTCCTGGTCTGGTCTCCTCCCTCAGCCTGGCAATGAACTCACACACGCAGTGATAATTGGTTCCCAGTGTTAACTTTGTGAATGGTGAATGTAACACTTTTAACTATGTAAATGAGTTAGTTATGTGGCCTATGTAATAATAATAATAATACAAAGAAATCACATTAATGTTACGTATTAATGAGAAAATCTTGTGCATCTGAAGAGATGCATTGAAGGTGAACTCCTAGACCACAACCAGAGTGCATGGGGGCAATGTGTAAACACCCCAACCCGTCCTTAAACAAAGTCCATTCCATCTAGTGGTCGACCCCAAAGTCCCATTCATTAATTTTAACATGCTGTTCATTCACAATAGGAATGTTCTAAAATATAAATTAAGTTATATATTTGCATACTGTTCATGTTTAGGCATTGGTTAGGTTAGGTTAGGTGTTTAGATTCTCGTGATTATTTGTAATATATGGGTGAAGCATTTACAGAGTTGTGGTTCGAACAAAAATCGTCAGCTTAGCACTTGTTCCGGAAATGTTCAGATGTCATCAGTTGCGAGTCGTGTTTTTCATTCATAAACAGGGGGATTGGCAGGTGCATGGAATCACTTTTGGTCTTTGTTTCTGAGGATGAGCTGAACACCCTGACTTGGTTTCAGTTGAAGCTTCGGGACCTCTTTAGGATTCCGTTGAATCCCAGGTTGCATTACTTTTACCATGTTGTGATAAAGTGGTCTGAGGTGTGTGCTTGGAAGTACCCAGTGTAGGTTTGAATCCTCCTCATGGCTCCTACTGATTTTCTTAATAATGCTAATGCTAATAATAATAATAAATTTTGTCAAGGACAGCCAGCCTGTGTATATACAGTACTGTATATGTTAGGTTACATCTAGGTCCCCTCAATGTCACACTACTAACCTCCCCAGGATGCAACCACACAACAGTTGACTCGGCTCCATAGATATCCATTTACTGCTAGATGAACAGAAGCATTAGGTAATAGGAAACATGTCCAACAATTTCTGTCCCACTCAGGCTTTAAACCCAGGATTCCCGATCGCAAGTCGAGAATGAACGCAACTGTACTACTGCAAATTAATACTTGTTTAAGAATACCCAGAAGAGGTCCAGTGTTCATTTAGTGGTTTTAATATATTTGGGGAGATACCAGAGCAGAGTCTGACATTTAGAAGCAACAATTATGGACAGGAATTAAGGAGGGCCAGAGTGCCTGATTTAATAGGCCGCTTTGCCTCCAAATCCAACTCTTCATTCCTCGACAGATAACCACCATTTTACATGAGGGCTTGATGATGGTGGTTTCAAGAAATGAATGTTGGCCGTGTCACCTAACTTTGCACCACATGGTTATTCATCACCGTGGAAATTTAAATCTCCTTATACTAGGAGCAAAGTACTCGCAACCCTTACCACTGTGATCATTTTAATAAATTAATTTCAGCCAATTTAAATTGTTTTTTCAGTCTTCCCTGGATTATCTGCAGTGGCACTGTTTTGAACCACTTAACACTTTCACGCCCTGGGCGTGCGCTCTGTTTGTATGCACCAACTATTCCTGGCAGTGCGGTCGAGCATGCGGCAACACCGAAATGTGTAGACTTGTTTCAGTTTTTTTCACCTTAATTCTAGTGCTACGTCGTTTGTTTCGGTATCATTGTGTTCGCAATAAAATTCCCTACAGGTGTACAGTATATGCATATAATGTCCAAAAGCCCGGCGTGACTCCCCACGGCAAAGCCTAAATTCGGTAACAGTTACCTGTGAGCACACAAAATCAGTAAAATGTGTATACTCGTTTCAGTTTTCTCACCTTAATTCTCGTGCTACGTCATTCGTTTCGGTATCAGTGTTCGCAATTAAATTCCCTGCAGGTGTATATGCATATGTTGTCCAAAAGCCCGGCATGACTTCCCTTAGCGAAGCCTAAAGTTACCCGTGAACGAGCACCAATTGGCACACCCGCAACCTAATGTGTATACTCGTTCAGTTTAATAACATCAATTTTCATGTTACGTCGCACGTTTGGTATAAAATTGTTTGCAATATAAAGGCGCGTATTTTAAAACTAGTCCCATAATAATAGAGCAATAACTGGAATTTTAACAAATATTTTAATTTTTGGACGCTCATCATCACAAAATTATTTATATCTTTCCAATGTTCTGACAAATTTTTGTGTTACATCACTCATTTTGGTATCAAATTGTTCGCAATCTAAAGGTGCACATTTTAAAATTAGTCCCAGATTGATTGGATAAATTTAAGTTTCTAACAAATATTTTAAAATGTGGACGCCGCTCGCATCACCAACTCAGACACAAGAGAAAAAATTCTAACACCAGCAGCGTTAACGGAGAGCAAAAGTATTACTACTTTGTTTTCCAGTACTACAGTGCTATTCCACTTATGAGGCTTTGTTGATTATCATTAATTCATTGTGATTAATAATTACCAGGCTGCAGTGGACATGCAGCCTGATGGCATATGGTCCTCCAACCTT